GAAATTTTCAGGAAATATATATATTTACTGAAATCTACACTGATTCATTATACATATTTACTGAAATCAAGATCTGATCAAGAATGTATTATAAGCAAAGATTTGTTTGCTTGTTCACTTTATTAATGAAGACACATGGTCGGTTTGATCAACATACATGATTTGTTGGTAACTAAAGGGAACAGCCTGAACAGTAATATGTTCCTTTAAGTATTGGTAAATCAATTTCTTCAGAGATGACTATCAGACATTCAGAATCCAGTGACCTAACGGTGGCCTTTCAAAACACGAAGCACCCAGTGCCCCATGAATTAGACTAACACAGAATTAAACAGATAAAAATCATCAGAGTTGGGCTATTATGACAGTTGGACTATAATAGAACCCAGAATATTTGTGAAGGTTTTGGATTATTAAATCGGGACTCTGAGACAGCCTGACGGTCAGGCTGAGAGTCAGTGTCCATTACAGCCCGAACTTGACCACAGTCCAGTATGATACAATGAAGGAAATGATAATACTGAGTCTCTCGGCATTGTCCACAGAAGCCCCAGAGCAAAGACCGTCCCTCTGATGCTGGGAAAATAGTATTGGTAATTATCCTTTTCAACTGAAGCAAGGCGGATCCAGAACTGTCCGTCTGGTCAACTGATGAGGTCAATATCGCACAAATAAGCAGTTTCTTTTTCGGCATTTGTTACCATTTGGTGAAATCGCATCCGAAATTAAACTTGCATCGGTAGCCATATGACTCTTTGAAGGATGAAGGTATTTCTTTTGTAACCAACGAGGTCGTTTAGCTTTAAAATGAGCTTGACCGTGATGAAATAATGACCTCTGTCTGATGTGGCTCAGTTGTTACTGTTTTGTAGGTTTATTGAAATGCAATAGTTGGTGACGGTTTCCGAATTCCGCTACTGTTGTAATTAGTTTCTATCATACAGGATGGTGGGTTAAATGGTGTGCTCGCTCGGACATTAGTGGATTTGTCCAGTTTGCATTGGACATTAGAGATGTGTCACACTATATGGAGTCCAACAGACACGAAACATCCGGACATTATGAAATCGACATATGCAAATGAAGATTGGACAATACGTGTCAGTCTTAACGCAGCATTTAATTTAGCAATTTGTGTTCACTTAGCTTCATACAACCCCTAATCCTACTCCAACCTGACCCCGACACCTTCCTTACCCTAGCCCCGACCACATTCAACCCTACAAAATATACACTCAGTACAAAAGAAATATCAATCCGTATGCACTGTTCTTCTAAAATGTAGGGATGAATGTATATATGTGTATTAACAGCCTGGCAAAACGAATATATACACTAATAAACTTGATTTGATAAAAACATTACGAAAGCTATAAAAACGTTACAAGGCTGAAAATGGTCGCCGAAACGCTTTCTGCTTTCATTGCCGAACTAACTAACTAGCTAACTAACTAACTAACTAACTAACTAACTAACTAACTAACTAACTAACTAACTAACTAACTAAAGAAATAGATGATTGAACAGATGTACGGACGGACGAACCAACGAACAAACAAACATATAAATAAATAAATATATGTGTGAACCATGTGAATATTTAATGATTTTATTTTAAAATATCAAGTGAATGAAGGAGCAAGCACTGCAACGTCGTATAAAGAATAAAAAAGCTGCTATTCATAAAACGTGTCATGTTTTCATGTTCGTCCAACTTCTAAATGCCTTTCAAGAACTAAAAATAATTAAGTTGAGGCGCAAATATTTAGGTGGGGCTTCTATACATTTTAAAGGACAATGTAGTAAGATAGTCAATTCAGTTTGAACTTGCTGTGTACATATGTGTACCGTTGGTTTTCTTCGAGGGTCATAGTGCATGGCGATTTGATATAGGATTACCTTAAGGAACGTTAATGTACAAAACATTAGGTGCTCAACGGGAGGGGGTGAGATGAATGTATTAAACAAAGCAGAGTGGGCTTTGACAGGTTTTGAGCCGAGGGTTTATATTTTGTCGGCAGCGTCCAACAAAAACAAGATCAAAGAGCACTAGAATTTCTAACGGCAAGTTTACCAGCACCGTTGTTGATTAATGACATTAGGAGTACATCATTGATCATTGCCATTAGCCCCGGGCCATGAAATGACATTTTTGTGGGACTGCAATACTACCGAAAATACGCGTTCAATTAAGGCTCATGGCGAACACAGCCATAGGTGGCTGTGATATACTCGGCGTGGTGATGGAACCATGTCCGAGGCAACCAGCACATAGCTTGATGTCATTAGAAACCATCAAGCTCATAAACCTGCACCCCATAGTGTCCCTGTCCCTGTATTATTAGAAGAGATGGAGGCTTGAGAGAGAGAGAGAGAGAGAGAGAGAGAGAGAGAGAGAGAGAGAGAGAGAGAGAGAGAGAGAGAGAGAGAGAGAGAGAGAGAGAGAGAGAGAGAGAGAGAGAGAGAGAGAGAGAGAGAGAGAGAGAGAGAGAGAGAGAGAGAGAGAGAGAGAGAGAGAGAGAGAGAGAGAGAGAGAGAGAGAGAGGAACGTAGAGAGTTGGAAGCTTGAGAGGGAGACGGAGGAGGTAACGGAGAGAGAAGGTGTGAAAGTTTGCGAGAGAGACGGGGGAAGTAAGGACAGAGTGGAAGTTTGCGGGAAGAGAAGGAGGAAGAAACGGAGAGAGAGAGAGGGGGAGAGAGGGAGGAAGAAACGAAGTGAGAGTGGAAGTTAAATGGTCGTCATTGACGTTTCGTGTCTAGGAGAGTTTCATGGATGCATCTAGGATATATTTTCGATTCCATATCTCTCATCATGAATAATACTTAATCTTATACGTTGCACACGGAGAGAATGAGATTTTTAGTGCTTTAACCACTGAGCCACCGCTCCTTCTAGTATAAGGAATCATAAAACGCGACAAATACTTATCCATAATCGTATGTAATCAGAAGCATAATTATGTCCCCGAATTAATGTGAAATAGTGACGATATAGCTTATGCGAGCATATACGATGTCCTGTGTTGGAAGGAAACAAAAAACGACATATCGGTTTCCATGGTCACAAGAAATCACTACTAAAGCACCGTGAATATAGGTTTCTTCCAAGTGATATGCTGTCTAAGACCACCATCACTTGATCCTACACATTTAGCTGCCAGGCCGTGATATATCCGCAACACTGTAGCAAGCAGGGTTAAACATAGCGAGTATGGATGAATTTATTTTTACGCAGCCTTAAGCAATATTCCATCAATATCACAACGGAATACACCAGAAATGGGCTTCACACATTGTACCCATGTGGAGAATCGAACCCGGGTTTTCGGCGTGACGAGCGAATGCTTTAACCACTAGCCCGAAGCCACACGTTAAACATATCTCATACCCAACAACAAATGCACTTTGAGCTTCTGTCCTACAAAATGCGTTCACCTTCAATAAACGTAATCATCAGCTCACGAAGATGTTAGCCGTTTTCATTCAGTGTGCCCTATGCAGTACGTCGCTATATGGCTGAAGTAATGCCGATCCGACATAGAATTTTAACTCACCCTATGCAATTCTATGACTGATATGTCCATATATATACCATTTTAGGAGGCACAGGTTGTAAGCTTGAATCTTCTACACATCCTAAAAGACACTTCTACTCTTCCAATAACAGTGAATATTTATACATCATTGCCTTCAAAATGAACTTGTACACAATACAAAACCTATCTAAAGCATCAAGGGGTGGTGGGGGTAGCCTAGGGGTTAAAGCGTTCGCTCGTCACGCCGAAGACCCGGGTTTGATTCCCCACATGGGTGCAATGTGTGAAGCCCATTTCTGGTGTCCCTCGCCGTGATATTGCTGGAATATTGCTAAAAGCGACGTAAAACCATACTCACTGACTCTAAAGCGTCACTGTCACAGATCTAGAATAACTACCTTCAGACAGATTCCATTCAGCGCAAACGGCAAAATAGCTGGTACAATTACATCGAGAGATCATTGAAAATCAGTGATGCCACAAGGTTTTCGCGAAACGGATAAACATATCGTCGTAGGACATTTTAAACATGGTACGATATGATTATATATTAAACATTAACCAGTAATTTCTTTCAGCCTCTTGCGAGTCTGTATTATCTTCTCAACCATGAGTCCAACAATATCCGTGTCTGCCTCAGAAATGGGAAATTCAGTTTAACCTTCCGTACACAGATTGAAGAAATATTTCCAGTTGCAGCGATTCAGGGAAAAGTTGTTGCGTGCGGGATGTTTATGGGTATGAGTGAGTGCATGACTGAGGATTTGCTGACATAATCATGATACATACTCATTGCTTTATTGTTGTGACTCGACTGTGTACCTCGTAACGAGCAAACAGACAAATGGACAAATACTCAAGCATGTTTTATTCCAATATAAATTTGTAACAGTTATACCGTCTCTTAAAGGGTTTGTGTTTGAACAGGAACAAGGGTTTGCACGAAGCTGCTAACAGTTCCAATGAACAGGGCACTGAATACTTTGATTTCTGTTTGATGTGGAGCCTTACTGTTTAACACTTTTTATGACACGTGTCTCCTGAATATCGTAGCTTTATAGTATATCATCAGAACACGTTTCTATCATCGACATCTGTACTTGAAATGAAGAACGTAAGAGATGTGTAAGGACATGGTTTCAAACCGTTGATGGGAATCTGACAAGCGATTGTAGGCTTGCTTGAACATCTTTAACTACAAAGAGATTTAAAGTTGGAGTACGTCGAGCTGTGCTGAGCGAGAGCTGTGGGCGTGACAATGGCAGGGGACATCCCTCAGTGTTGGGACAAGTGTATGGCACACCGCAAGCCCGTGTGCCTACTCAGCCTCGACGGACAGCTCATTGGATGGCTCTAGCTGACAAACTGTTTTATGTAGAATAGTGTCTAAAGATATTTTGATCTGTAGTGTGACGCGCGATGGTAATGTCTCATATATTATTTACCGTCGACGGAGGGCTGTAAGACAAGCTGCGTCTCCCGCGTTGTGAACATCCAGTGTTTGTGAAGGAAGCTTATGTTGGCCTTTGTTTGCTTCATGTACTAACACAGTTGCTTCATCTCATAGTGAAGTATATTCATCAAGAGGAGGTGGATATATGGACATTTAATTTCAAAGGTGAGGCACGAGTTGTGAAGTCTGGCAGGAGGTACGCTTAAGAGCTGTGGCAGCCCGGAGCTTCATTGAAGACTGGACTGATACGGTTAGATAATATTCTCCTGTTGACAGGGGATACTGAAGATACAGATAGAAAGATAAAGAAGATGAGCTACAACTTCAGAGACCTTGAACGCACAGGAGAGATGACACCAATTGGACAGAAAGTGTTGAACATTACTCTGGAATCGGAGATGCTTTCAAGCAGGTTCAGAATTAATATTAGTGACGATGTTCAATCGGTTATTAACAGGAATCTGTCAGAAGCGGAGACACCTCCATGTACCCCCTTAACCCCGTTGAGTGCTTGTGGGAGTGAGGGGGACGTCTTCACTTTCAGTCCACTTTCTGAATCGGATGAACAATTATCTGGGTGTACGCCACACAAAACGAAGCTGTTTGACCACAAGTGTCCAAGAGCTCCAAGAAAACGACAGTCAGGTTCAGACGCAGCCATCAGCATCGATGAACGACGACGTCGACGGCAAGCGGCTAACGCACGCGAGAGGAGGAGGATGGAAGGTTTGAACGTTGCCTTCGATCGTCTCCGGGCGGTCATCCCCGCCAGCAGTGACGACAGTCAACTGTCCAAATACGACACCCTGCAGATGGCACAGACCTACATTCAAACTCTCTCAGATCTTTTGACCAAGGTTGAAAACTGAACACTGTGCCACCCTGCAAGGGTATATACCCGAAACCAACTCTAAACCAGACAGGTGCTCATATTGTGAAGCTTTTTTTACTTCCAAAGTATGAAAGAGTTTGAGGATTTGTAGACTCCTTTGGTGCGTGAAATAGAGACTTGCATTTTTTTGGTCTCTGGTGACTATTCATAGACGCTTTTGAGAGACGGACAAAACAATTTAAACTGCCATTCAGCAATATGATCCAGCAGAATAAGAAGATGATATAATACGCTATGGTACGCCATGCTTTGTGTTTGTCTTCAGCGACTGAAGGAGGTGCAGTGAGGTGACACAGACATCTGTCGTCATCCTCATCTTCATCTGAAGAAGAGCGTGCCGGATATCAAAAGTAGGTATGAACTGGCGCGTGCTTAGTGGAGAACGCTGCTCGTGGCTTGGTGATGGACGTCCGCGAGAAGACTACATCATGCATGACTGCAGTTACATCTACAACTTCTTACACGGCGAACAGGCGTTGCAACGCTTACAACTGGTCTTTCTGTGCGTTGGATGTGAATGGAGTACTAAGCCTTTGTGAGAGATGTAGCGACAGGTCCTTTGAAATGGGATTGAATTGCATCATTGACTTGAAATCGTAGCCAATTTACCATCCTAGATTCGGCGATAAAGTCGAAGGCGGCAGTGATTTTATGAATGTCAGGCTTGGAAGTTAAAACTCGTTGACCCTTCTTTGTGGTTTTGACATGACAATTACACTTATATTTCTATGTTCATATGTTCTTATCAAATCCAGCCATCTCAACACACCGGGGAAGTGTTTTGATAACATACTGTCACGCTGTGACAGGCTGTACCTGTTAATTCAGTGTGACAGCGATGATCTGCTGTCGTCCCATCTTCAACCCACCTTTACAGAACCCTGTACAGAAAACCGGTAGGGAAACATTATCTGCGTGCATCTTAAGCACACGTACAGTGGTAATTATGATTTGACGTGACAACTGTTAACCCCAGACCTACACATCAAACAGCTATAATAGATTGTGATTGGTTCGTCACGGATGCTCTGTTTGACTTCGAGTGTCACTCAGGCGCGTGACAGGCTGTCGGTCACGTGATGTCACGTGGCACTAACTATGAACACTGCCGGCGCAACGTCTGCCCACGCATACAGGTGTGATATGGCATGTTTTTCGTCTTTGCTTGTTTACTTTGAAGTGGTATCCGGCTCCTTATTCTTCGTATGTAAACTGGAAACCACAAAATATTTCATAAACACATATTAGAATAATTCAACTGAATGTAAAGACAGACTTATAATATACCAGGCCAATGGATTTTCCTAACGGTATTCATGACAATACTTTATGTCTCAATGATACATTTTATATGAGTAATGATACACACTGTCTGATTATTGAAAATCGTATGTGGACTCGCTATCCATATTGCTCAATATTATATTTTTTACTCATGATTTTATGGAGGTTTATATATTGTTATTAATAAACTATTTTATATAATTATATACTTTGTGTTTTTTTACTTTGAACCACGTTAGTCTGAGCGATTACTTTTTGTGGACGTTCATGCGTTTAAAGGGGCGTTGTATGTTCAGCTGTCTGGTTGATATTTAAACCGAGCGGTTTTGTGGAATCACGAGGATTCACGTGCACGAGAATTCACTGTTTCAAATATTCTTTCGTTTTTCCAAGATGGATTCTCTTTTAAAAAAATTGCGAGTTGCTATATAATTGCTTATTTAACAGTACCACAAAATCTGTCTACGAAACGGAGTATTACACAGTGTCAAGGTCTTGTGTAGCGGACAATGATAGAATATCTACACTCGGATCTCGGGATTCATAAGCCCTCCTTAGGTGCTTCCTAGAAGAGTATGATCGCGGGTTCGAATCTCTCATTACATTTCTAGGTTTATCAGCTCCATGAACCTCCCAGTGCGTTAGGGTGGTGTACGTCCAATTGCAAGATCTGCATCAAGCAGTGATAAAACTGAAATACTGTTAAAAGCGGCTTTTTAGTGGCCAGCATGTGTTAGTTACTTGGTTGTATGACGTCCTACACCGAAGTCATGGGACGTTGCTCGCTGGTTTGTCCGTCCCAGGCCGTCGTCAAGGCTGGAATTTTACTGACTGCAATGTTACTCACTTACCCATTCACTCACACACCCGTTCACGCACGCACGCACGCACGCATACACTCACTCACTCACTATTGAACCACATTCATGTGTTTCAGTGGATATAGTGACATTTCATATGTGCGCAGTTTTCCTTAGGCAATTCTGGTAGATCTCGTCAATGAAAAAGAGCAACGAAAAAGGACAGGAAAAACACATAGGTTTTACGTTTTCATTGAAAAAGAGGACACACATTGTCAGAGAAACTGTTACTTTTCTTCTATTTTTTGGCGTACCTTGTGATTTTGTTTATTGCAATTATTTTTACAAGTGTTTCACTGAATGTTCAGAAGTTTTCCAGAATATTAAATATTAAATTTATTTGTGACGTTTTGAACTATAAAAATAGTATTGAATGAAAACTGTTTCAAATCATCATTTTGTGTCTAGAACTAACACATCACATTTACAAGCGTACACCTGTATGTGTGATTCGGGACACTTGTACATGGGTCTTCGCTACCTTCTTCCCCTTCTTCTTCTTCTCTCTCTCTCTCTCTCTCTCTCTCTCTCTCTCTCTCTCTCTCTCTCTCTCGAACTTCCACTCTCTCCTCTACCTCCTGTCTCATTTCACACTTTCGCCTCCATCTATCTATCTACTTCTGCTATCTACCACTCCGCTCTCTCTCCTTTACCTCCTTTTTCAAACTTCCACCCTCTCTTTTAACTACCGCTGTCTCTCTTCGATTATTCCTCCCTCTCCCTCTCAAACTTTCGTCGCTCTCTCCTTTACTTCCTATCTCTCAACCCTCTCTTTCAAACTTCCACTCTTTCTCTTTTAATTCTCACTGTCTCTCTCTCCGATACCTCCCCCCTCTCTGTCTCAAACTCCCGCGATCTCTCAGCTATCTACCTCTATCCTCTCTCTCAAACTTCCGTCGCTCTCTCCTTTTCCTATCTCTCAACCCTCTCTTTCAAACTTCCACTCTTTCTCCTTAACTCTCACTGTCTCTCTCTCCAATACCTCCCCCCTCTCTGTCTCAAACTCCCGCGATCTCTCCGCTATCTACCTCTATCCTCTCTCTCAAACTTTCGTCGCTCTCTCCTTTACTTCCTATCTCTCAACCCTCTCTTTCAAACTTCCACTCTTTCTCCTTTAACTCTCACTGTGTCTCTCCGATACCTCCCCCCTCTCTGTCTCAAACTCCCGCGATCTCTCCGCTATCTACCTCTATCCTCTCTCTCAAACTTTCGTCGCTCTCTCCTTTACTTCCTATCTCTCAACCCTCTCTTTCAAACTTCCACTCTTTCTCCTTTAACTCTCACTGTGTCTCTCCGATACCTCCTCCCTCTCTGTCTCAAACTCCCGCGATCTCTCCGCTATCTACCTCTATCGTCTCTCTCAAACTTCCGCGCTCTCTCTCCTTGCCTCCTCTCTCGACTCAGTCTCTTTCAAACCTACGCTTTCTCATCCCCCCTCTCTGTGAAACTTTCGTTCTCTTTCCGTTACCTCTTCCCTCACCCCACCTCTCCATTACCTCTTCCCCCCTTTTCTAACGTGTCGGTGGTACCCCATCACGAACGACACTTCCACAAGAAGTAAAGGAAAGAAAGATGTGTCATCTTTAAATTTTAATGTGTTTGTTAGTGGTAGTGAACACGCATGAAAATTAAAACATACTTTAATGCCTCTTGTACACCAACAGTACATTTCATGGAAGAATATCACACGCACTCTTTTATGATCAAAGTCAACTTTTCTGAAATATATATTATGTTTTCATTGAAAATATGTTTCGACATTCGGAGATTATTCTGTGACGTAGCTAGCAGGTGCCCAGTCTCGATGACTGGTTCGTCCTTACCGCCCGTGGCGGAGAAACTCCCTCCGGTGAACTAATCTCGTCGACTTTCATCTGAACGTGAAAACGCGGTATTTATGCAAGTTTAGATATTAGTTTCATAAATATGTCATTTCGTTTCGTTTTCCTGATTGATAACGCTCGAGAACAATAGCGGACCAGTTTATTGGGCAAGATTATCTGTCGCACGTGCTAGACCAGCTTTGCCTCGAGGCTATATTTTAGCGGCGTGCGCACCCAACTTTCGGGTTACTTACAAAGGATGGAGGCAGGTTGACAGAGGCGCATATGGGTTTACAACCTAACCAGAAACACCAGGCAAAAAGTTAATTATGATCTTTTGGGTTTGACAGGTAATTTGTTTTGCCATACAACTATATTCCCAAACTGCAGCCGCCATTTGCTGGAATACAAATGTAAAATACAGATCAGGATATTGATATCCCACAGACTTAGTTGTTGCGGAAATAACATGGATATTTATTAATATAGTGTATTCCTGCTTTCGACAGTGAGCTGAATGAGCTGTAATATGATACAAAAAGTGGTTTCCGTGGGCCAACGATATGAATAAACGATGACGTTAGTCGCCTCTGTTGATATGGTGCTGATACGCTGATAAGTTTGTTGTATTTAACTATTTAACTTAAATTTCTAACTGTGTGCGAGTCTCAATGAAGCCCCAAATAACCATTATTTATCGCAGAATGTGTAAACATGATTTTCTCTGAGATTTTACGAATCTTCATTGGCTACCACTGCACTGTACACGGAATGATGTCGATGGGTATTCCAGTTTGTTTGTTGTTTAACGACTGACTGACTGAGTTTGGTTTTACGCCGCTTGTAACATCAACATCGCGGCGGGGGACACCAGAAATGGGCTTCACACATTGTGCCCATGTGGGGATTCGAACCCGGGTCTTCGGCGTGACGAGGCAACGCTTTAACCATTAGGCTACCCCACCGCCCCTGTTGTTTAACGATACACTCAGCAGTATGTATGGCGGCGGTATGTATATAATTAAGCCCGGACCAGACAGTCCAGTGATCAACATTATGAGCATCGATTTACACAATTGGTGTACATCGAATCCCGATCCCGATAGTCGCCTCTTTTTTGTGGTTATTTGTTTGTTTTCAACCTCTCGGTCGGTAATTTCCCAGCTATATAACTTCGTTCTGTACAAAAATAAGTCTGGACGGGACTATCCATGATCGAAATCATGAGCATCGACTTACGAAATTAGAATACAATTACCTTAAGTACTTTTATATTGAAATATAGATTGACTTCGCTTCCCGTTGGTGATTATTTCAACCGAAATAATTGGATAAATATTAAAGATCGACTCACTTTTACTAATTTGAATGGTGGTCTAGCCAAGATAATATGCAAGAAAAATTGAATTTACGTGTTTAGATTTTGTGAAGTTGTGAAACACGACCCTGCGACACGAAACCTGAAGCAGGTCACACATTGTTATCAGAGGTCATCAGCGCCCGTTGATGCCTATTGTGTAACGCTGTTATTGTAGAACTGCTGACAAGCGTGACGGGAGACCTGGCGACAGGGGGTTACCTCAAAATACCACCAGGTTCATGGGTCAACTGATATAATGATAACTAGGTTTGCATTTGGATTAATGGAACGTTAAACTTTACTTTTTATTTTATGTCAGAGTTTGTTTCTTGTTCAATCATCTCATGTATTTTTTTGTTTTTGTTTGTTGTTTACGGCCTGCTCAGCAATATGCCAGCTGTATGGCGGCAGTCTGTAAATAAGCGGGTCTGAACCAGACAATCCAGTGATCGACAGCACGAGCATCTCATGTACTACACGCGTTGTTAAATTTAAAGCTGGTAATTGTTTCAGTATTGTTCTTCAGAACTATTATTTTGACCCAACAGTTGGCCTTATTCTCTCGTTTACGCTGTCGTTTTCTCCTTGTTACTGTCTATCCGTATCAAAGTACGGATGATAACTTTGCTAATTATTTATTTCCATGGTTGGTAAGCACATCATGTAATGCTGACACTTAAATCCCCAGAATGAATTATTTTTATTTCCGTATGTACTTCAGTTGCCGGTGTACGAACCCTATCCATATTTCGGGTCATTGGAAATTTGATCATTAAGTCAGTTTGAAATATATCTATATATATCTATATTTATCTATCTATCTATCTATCTATCTATCTATCTATCTATCTATCTATCTATCTATCTACAAGTGGATGACAAGTGAGCTGTTTTGTGATTGGTTAATGTACTTTGACAGACAGGCGGTCACGTGGACTAAAAGTGATTTTTAGCTATTCATCGTTTGATAAGTGCTTTACATTAAATGCTGATTTGTTTTATCCAGGGGCGGTGGGGTAGCCTAATGGTTAAAGCGTTGGCTCGTCACGCCGAAGACCCGGGTTCGAATCCCCACATGGGTACAATGTGTGAAGCCCATTTCTGGTGTCCCCCGCCGTGATGTTGCTGGAATATTGCTAAAAGCGGCGTTAAACCAAACTC